TTGAGATATTTTTTATACACTGAATCTAAATAACTCATATAACGATACACCAAACAGTGCAAATATACATGAAATACGCTTAGAAATAACCTCTCAACTTACGATAATTCCTGTCCAAACAAACATACGGTGAGACACATCTACATGATTACTTCTATTCCCACAGAAGGTTCTGTTAGCATTGACAGGTGATTTCCAAGTACTGATAGAATTATTTTGTCAAAAATGACTGTTCTTCACATGAAAATAGGCGGAATTATTACCTGAGACGTGAAGTCTCCATTGAATGATACGATGCTGAAAAATGGAGCATCTAAATAAAGTAGACTATTTGTGTAGATGATATTACCCTTCAACTATCCTATATTTCTCATAATAGCAATATTTTGCTACAGTTCGCCTGAAACACTAGTCACTGCAACCAATATGCTAGAGGCTGTCGCAGTCAGATTACATGACGCGGACACTAAAATAATAGGCCAGAAAATGGGAATTCCCATCAATCCAGATAACATATAACACAATCTTATTAAAAATAATTGACGAAAAAATTTTCCAAGTGAAATTTTAACAGCTATTCTAGAACGTGATATTTAATGTCTACCCTTTCCCTCAGAAAATTGAACATTTCACTTGTTGCATTCTTCTGCGGTAATTGAATAGGTACGTTACAATGAAATACCCTTTTTTGTTGACTTGATGAAAAATATGCTTAGGAATTACCTAGAGTTTATACAAAACGGGTTAAAAGTGTATAGTTAAGCGATTGCAAATAAGACTTCGTTTAGTAAATTTCGTATATGTAAGAAGTTACAAATCCTAAAATGTGTGATTTCATATAGAGTGTCTTCGCTAATCTAGGAGCGATACTTTCAGAATAAAGGTATAATAGTTAGTTGGTACGTTTTAAAACGAAATTGAGCTTGCCGTTCATGATCCTGCTTCAATGTGATTAGAAAAACGTATATTTATACTCAATAGGATACTTAATTATCTTTATTGTCTGTTTCCTCATTGATGAGAAGATAATTTGTGAATTAATCTAAAGGCAGATATACAGCAATATGATAGACTGTAATTTTTCACTGGGCAAGGTAATATAACTTATGGCGTAACAGTAACTGCCAGATGTTAAGGGACAAAAGGACTTAAGCATTATTGTAAGCCATGACTTAAAAACAATAGCAAATTGTAAAGGAGCCTCAGCTAACCCTTACTGAATGCTACTGGCGCTTCGAAGAGCTTTCAAACGACTAGATAAGGGTGTGTTCCAAGTACTCTATGCAACATATGTCAGACATCATCTAGAATACTGTACACAAGCGGTGACTTCGTGTCTCAAAAAGGAGACACATATCCTGTCAAGAGTGCAGCGGGTAGAAACCAAACTAGTCAGTGGTATCTCACACCTTCCTTATGATAAGAGGACGGGGCATTTAAATCTCTTTCCATCATCGTACGAAGGAGGAGAGGCAACTTAATTTTGGCATACCTTATGTTAAATGGTGATTTGAAGATTGGCCTTTCAGGTCCTTTCTCTCCCTCTAGGATAAATTGACGAGGTCACCGCAAGAAGGCACTCAAACTGAGGTCGAACAAAATACGTGTGGAATTTAGATTCCCTCACAGAGTGGTCAACGACTGGAACTCCTTACCTGATTCGGCAGCATCAGCTCCATCAGTGAACGCTTTCAAAGAAAAACTAGATCTCTGCAGAGATATATATTGTAAGGATTGATATAAGCAACAAGAACCTTCTATCTTTATAATCTGAATCTGAGTAATGATAAATGTGTGACTTGACCATGCTACGGAATTCATGAGCTCACCCGTATTACACTTAATTTGAACACACTTTTATGAAGTACAAAAGGAGTTATTGATAAGGATCACAAGCAACACAGATTAAAAATAATATGAATGTAATTATATAGATATGGCTACTCCGTTTTTTTAATTTAATAATTTAATTGCCTACGTTAATCAGTTGGAAACCCTTAAATGAAAAGCAAGAAATGTAAGGTGACTTACGTCCAGATTAATTCTGAGACAGGACATAAGATACCGAGGAATAAACAATGTACTGCAATGCGATTATGTGTTTTTGTCAGTATAATCGCGAAGGCGACGTATGATCAACATTCCTCACCGTCTGTGTGCACAGATTTGATTCCAACCGCTTGACTACGATTGCTTGCACAAAGTGTGGTATGCTAATTTGTGTTTTTATCTGTTGATAACTTTGAGCGACTACTTTTCACAATATTCTCGGTGATCACTGAGTGGTGTACAACCGCCATTATTTGGTATATATATATACTTTGGTTGTTGGTGCGTTTTTCATGGCGGTGATAGGTGTCGCAGGTTCCAACCGTTGTCTGTTATGTCTTCCGTGCATTTCTTTTACCAGAGGTCAGTATATTGTATTCTAATGGAAATAAATCATTTCCGTATCATATTCATATTTCAAATTACCAGTATTCTTATATTTTGTTAGTATTGAATGTCATTATTCATCTCAGTCGGTTGTGCCAATAACATAATTGCTCAGTAGAAATTGATTAGACTCGCTCTGATTTGTCTGTACATGCTTAGTGTAGTATTTTCACTCTTCATTAATAACGATATTACGTTAGATAACCTAAACTGACTGTTAAAGTAGCTTTCTAAGTAGGACTGCAATTTACCGAAGAAATTGTAATTTGGTTTGTTGAATATGTAGAAAAGTGCATTCTCAACAGAGAGGACACTCACGAAACTCTAGTGATAAAGAATTCACATACTTCTTACACATTCTGATTGGTTGTTCTGTTTTCTTTAATTACTAATAGTAATAAATGCAGTGAATGAACTATAGTTCAGTTGCTTTGTCACACTTATTAGGATGCAGTCAAAAATGGTGTGTTGAGTTGTTTGCATAACTTGAGTCCAATTTAGGTGACAGTCATGTGATAAGCTTTAATAAAGGCTTTTCTTAGTACATAGAATCTCATCTACATGCTTACTATCAACCATTTTTACAAACTAATAATTCTACTCATATTCTTGTAAATTACTGTTAAAACTAAATGTGAACTGTAGGGTGAATGGTTTTGTTATAACTTAACTTAGCTTGTAACACCATTGGATCTTTTATTCATGGTGACTTAGAGGTAATTACCCATTCCTTATAAACAATACGATACATCTATGTATGCTGTTAATCTTTGGTATACTATATCTTTTTCCCAATCAAATCTCGGCGTTGCTCGTTTGTTAGCTGGGACATTAAATCTCTTCACTGCATATCTTTAAACCAGTTAACTACATATTTTCCAAATAGTACAATTTGTAAAAGACTCAGTGTCAAAATTTATTATCAGTGTATATATCCTCGTGCCTCCAAAGCCTCAGGACGGTCGGGGGTGGGTGCCTTGCCTTGCGGGTTGGCCACCCCTCCGCACACCTCTTGAAATGCTCCCATATGACCGGGCGTCTTACATAGCCTCTCCTGAGGAAGTCCTACTCACTGCCTTCACGTGGCGATGTTTTTCACCAAAGTGAGAGGGCGAAAGCGGATTCCCGGCGCTCTTCACCGGGTTGACTGTCCATTGGATGACACTCTAGGGGAGATGGCTAAACCCTGATTCCAAACCTCCAACGAATGGCGTATGAAGCTCACTGGAGCTCACCGGCAGACGTATCGACAAAGGGCTTGTTGGATGTCCTGGATGTCTGGCCCCATTCAAAAAGGCGTATGAACCGAACTCCGGTCACCGGCTGCCAATGGATAGTGGACTCTCTACTCCACTCCTACTGCCTTGTAGGTCACACTTGGTTGTGTAAAGGCTAGAGCTGCACTCTCAAACAAAAGGTCGAGCGATTCTGGGGACATCAATCGTACCAAATTCCCATGAAACTTCATGAACTCTCTTACAAACGACTCTCACCATGGGCAGCGATGATTCGAGGTGTTCATGAAGCCGGCTCATCCTCCCGTAGGAGATAGCCGAAGCAAAGTGAAAAAGTAAAGTATATATCCTCGTACTTTATTTCTTACAATTTTTCGGCTGAAAGACACTCTAAATGGTCCTATCCTTACTAGCACAGCTTTAGGCAGTGTGGGTTTTTGATCTCGAAATTTGCAAATATAAGATGTGGTTGATTTGGTTTCATGTTTGATTCCTGTTACATTACTTTGGAGGTTCGCAGAGTTTCTATACATACTCCGATGTTTAAAATACTGTAGGTAATGTTTATTTAAAAAAGGAATACAAAAACTAGCATAATTTCAACCGGCAAGCCATTGATCCAGAACATAGTCTACGTACTAACATTTGTGAAGTCAGATACTCTCTCCACTTTTGGAACAATATGTGTCATTTGTAATCCTTAGCAAAAATTTCAACATAGTAGGTAAATAGCTCGCCTTGTAGCTAAAACGTCCTGGGTTCGAACCCCGGTGGGTGTGTACGGATGAAGAGTCACAAACTAGGACGAAACAGCTTTCCAGTACTCCCAGGTTTTCCCGTGGTTATCTAACCGATGTCAGGTCAGAATGGAATACTATAACCAATCAGTCAAATCCCTACAAACCAATACTTGAATATCAATGAGATGCTCACTCGCGACTGACCCTATTCAGGTAGATAGTTACCTGGGTTCTAGAGGGAAGTTGTGACCAGTAGGGTGCAGCAGGTCGGGTGAGGACAAATACTCGCCAGAGATGACATTGGCTAGTTGTTGTGCTATGTTATGAATTGGCAGAAGTTGGAATTCATGGGCTGGCCACTGAATCGGGTGGGTCCCAGTGCCGTAATGGTCTACGAGCCAGCTCACCTTGCTGCTGGAAGGTCCTGGTTTCGAACCTTGGTAGGTGCGTACTGACAAGGAATCCCAAACTAGGCTGGCAAAACAACTGTCCAGTACTCCCAGTTGGTTTTCCCATTGTTCTTTAACCGATGTCAGCTCATAATGGAATCGTGTAACCAATTATTACATTGTTTTTTTATTGATTTCAGGATATCAACAATGGTAATTTATATTCACAGAAATTTGATGTCCTTTGAATCCAGTCTGAACTGCGTGTTGCAGATATGTCTCAAGTTACATTGGATAGTATAAAAAAGTTCAAATTTCGAAAATGCAATAACACAATTGCTCTTACATGTAATTTCTCTCCCCATAAATTATTGATAACCACTCATTTCATTATAGTAAAAATTGATAAAGAGACTCTCAAAGTTGAAATAGAAGACACTTTTGAAGTTGAATAGAACACATTTTGATAACAATTTTTCTATTTAGGATACTACATTGGAAAATCTTAAAGATGCATTGCCAAGCCACCAACCCAGATACATTCTTTTAAGTTACCGATATGAAAAGCAAGACGGTCGTGTATCATTTCCATACTGCTTAGTGTTTTCAACTCCACAAGGTATATTTATTATTTCAGTTGATTTTTTATTCGTTTATTCCTTTTGGTTGTTATATGATACATGTGACTTAGTTTGCGGGTGTTTTTGATAGACTTATCAACTTATAGTCGTGCACATAAGTATATCACACGCCAAGTTTCTACACTTTGAAAATCACATAGGAGAGCAAAGAAATGAAATATACAGTAGCTAAAACAAACAAAGCTATGTATAAATAATTATATGAGGATTAGTGAGGATTTACAGAATATGGTTATTAACAATGAGTAAGTATATCTGCTGCATTGTAAATGACTCTGAATTATATCACCATCCATTGATTTTAGGCATCCTGAGGATCTCAGCCAGACATCCTACTAGGTTTAGATTAAAATCCAGTGATTTCATACGTCATACTGTGGTGAGAGATGGTTGCTAGCCAAATTGGTTGACAGTAATTGAGGTCAAAGGTCAAGATGGACAGGCGGATACAGGTAATATATAGATGAACTGACACAGTCACAAGAGATGCAAGGTTAACTCTGTGTGAGAAACAATCAATCAACAGACTGTATTTTCTACTAATATTAACCTAAAATAATGTACATCAAAATCTATAAATACGTGTTGATTTTCCGTAATAAACGTTCTGTTGCCTGGCCCTTGTCTTCTGTTGTTACAAAACTACTAATTCCTTCCCAACTTAATTTTACGCCAGCTAACATCGGTCGTCAAGATTGGCATGACTCAGGATTCTGTAGTCATCTCAATCAGTGGGGTTTCATTATCGTATCGATCGGTTTTATATCCTTATCTAACCTTATTGCTAGTTATCATGTTACTCTACCTAACATCGGTGATCAAAAACCACTTATCTTTCCTTATATTCCTCATGTTGCAGTCATAAAGTAGGACAGAGTGGACTACATACTGCCTTCGAGGCGTAGTGAGATATCCCATGTGTCAAAGATGACATATGTTGGCAAACACTGGAAAGGCTTTTCGTATCCGTACTGAGATTTCCTCAGTGGCCAGTCCATCCGGGACAATGCAACTCCTCAAATAAATGAAGACATAGACACATCAAGTTGTTCTGCATTCATTATTTGCTTTCAGTTAACAGAGATCATGGACCCAGGATTTAATCTCTGGCCTACTTACTCCTAAACCTCGACTAGTCGGTAGTAAGCATGGGGTTAGCGACCCCTATTCCGTAAAAATATTGCTACATAGATTTCAAAGCTCAATCTTGAAGCCCTGTATTCCGCTCTGAACGCAAAGGAATGAAATAAATAATGGGTCTAGGTGCTGAGGTTTCAGTAAGTAAGTTACAGTTCGTGACCTATTGTCACCATTAGTCCTTGGTTAGTAGTTCAGAGTGTATGTTTCTGTTAAATTGATGTGCATCTAATATATTTTGATAATTGGATTCATCCTGTAGTTTTCTGGTCTAGTGGCACATCTTTATTTATATCTTTCTTATAGGTTCACCTCCGAATCTTCAAATGATGTATGCTGCAAGTCTTACAAATGTAACTCATAAAAGTGAAGTGACAAAGGTAATTTCTGTTTTGTACAAGCAACTTTATTGTGATGATACAGGTGTTCGAGTTAAGAGATCTAGAAGAACTTTCAGATGAATGGTTGGAAGAAAATTTGAGTCGTACTAGCTGAATTATAAACACTCCATTGCTTTTTTTACCAAATTGAAAGAGTCATTAACTTTTGTATGCCTTAATTCAAACTGAAATCAATGAACCAATGTAATAGTCTTTTGTTATTTGACACGCACGCACGAAAACAAATGATTATGTTTCTATATCTATATGTACACAATGGCAAAAATAATTTTTATTTATCATTTGAGGTGTGTTTTATTCGGTGATATTAAAAATATGAAACACTCCAATTGTTTTCCTATTTGTCTTGCTAAGATTGTGATCACCTAGACGGTGGTAAGAGCAGTGTTAAGCGTATTGATTCCTTGAATAACACTATGGCATGGTCACTTGATAACTACAATTAAAAAAAAGCAGCGATCAACGCGTTATCCAGCTACTAAGGTCATAACAAGCAATATGAAGAAAACATGTATTCCAGTGTTGGTTTGTAGGGATTGGATTGGTTACAGGATTTTATCATGAGCTGATATTGGTTAGAGAACCATTGGAAAACCACCAAGGGAGTACTGGACAGCTGTTTCGTTCTAGTCTGGGACTCTTCATCAGTACGCACCCAATGGGGTAGCCAGAAGATGGATATACAATCTACTAGCTGAAATTCGTCCATGTCAATAAACCAACCATACTTACAAACTCAAAGATCACGAGAAGTCCGCTGAGATTCATCAACTAAAACAAACTTATTCAAATGTCACTATCACAAATGATGATTGAGCATGGAAAGAAAACCTTGTAATCAATCTAAAAACCATGATTTTCAGAAACTTTGAAAACTCTCACGGAGCAAAATCTGATTAACACAAATGCGTTCATCATGTCAGTTCAAGCGACGTAGAACTTTGCATTGATGTGCAGAAGTTCCAGATGCCACATTCCATGTATCACACAAAGCAAGAGAAGAGAGATAATAAAGAGAAGTGTGAGTGAGGCAAAAAAAAACATTAATATGAAAGAACAATATAGTTTTCAAAAGAATGGACACGGAACAAAGAGTACTCTTTTCGATAAATTCATCATCAGGCTCTACAATTATATATACATTATAGTGAATGAATGAATTAGTGTTATGAACGACATTAATGTTTAAATAACATCAAATCAATAATATTGATAGATTACAGCTGAACAGCATCAACATAAAATAAGCTGAATGTCAGAAGAATTATGAAAGATAATAGTACAAATTCATGAGTTTATAGTTTCTACTGAGGGCCAGGGCAGTAGTAGGGGCTGGACTTGTTTCTTTTGAACACAGAGCACTGGTTGTTTGAGGCGAATTGCAATAGCCTTTGCTGTTTGGAGCATGCGGTGCTTCGACGATTTTGGTAATTTGTTAGGCACCCGGTATATTATAGAGAAGGATTCTTCTATGCTGGCTTTGTGACCGGTTGGCACCAGATGGTCTAATATCGAGCTGTTAATAGTTTTAACTACACCTTTACTTAGCCATAGTGGGATATGTTCTCGAGCACGAAAAATCAAGTTCCTAGAGCAACGGCCAACTCATGAATTTGTACTATTATCTTTCATAATTCTTCTGACATTCAGCTTATTTTATGTTGATGCTGTTCAGCTGTAATCTATCAATATTATTGATTTGATGTTATTTAAACATTAATGTCGTTCATAACACTAATTCATTCATTCACTATAATGTATGTACAATTGTAGAACCTGATGATGAATTTATCGAAAAGAGTACTCTTTGTTCCGTGTCTATACTTTTGAAAAATTTAATGGGCATTTTTAATCAATCAATATTTTATTGGACATTATCAATCACAAAGGGTTAATGCATCTGCTCCAGTCATTGAGAACGATTTTGAGCCATATCGCCAATTGAATCTAGCCTTCGTTGGCTTTTATCATCCGAAGACCCTAACCAGTCAGGAAGTCTACACCTCTCTACATGACTCGCTGGCTTGAACTAACTGTTGTGGATTTCATCGACTGATGAAGCCATGTTTTGGTTTAACCACCACAGGCTCTTTCCCAACCTGATCCATCCTATGTCAGCTAACATTGCCCGTCGAGGAAGGCGACGCCTAGGCATACATAACACATGTCCCAACCATCTTAATCGATGCAGCTGCTTCACAAGCTCGTCGATTGATTTCCCCTCCTTACCCAAACTCCACGCCTAACCTCAATATTGCTCACCCTATTGTGCCATCTGACACTGAAGATAGAATTCAGACACCTATGATCAAAGACAGCTAGCCGTCCTTTTCATGCCTTCCACTTTCAATGAGCAGGTCTCACAACCATAAAGGAGAACGAAGCGAACTGCTGAGCAGTACACACGGCCTTTGGTTGACAGCCGGATATCACGTCTAAGCCATACGGAGTAAACTGGCATTTGCCAAACGAGTTTATCGTATTCAAACTGAGATTTCGTCAGAGATCAGCTCGTTGGAACTGGCTGGTGCAACTTCTCAAATAAGTGAAGTGCTCAACACGCCCAGCCACCACTTCACTCCCTATCTCTAAGCTAGGAGTCGATGTAGTCCATTCCAGTCCTATAGCATCATCTTACATTTGACAGGGGCGAATTGCATGCCAAATATTCGAAGATTGCTGCATGTCAAGGTGCTCAGAAAACTCTTCATTTTGTCAGCGTCTTCACTTAGAAGGGAGGATTATATCATCTGCATATTCTAAGTCAACGAGATTATTCCCTGACGGTAGCAAGTCAATCCCTGAGTAGCTGAAGTCATTTAGAGTTAAGTCCGTGCGAGAGAAAAAAAACAACATCAAAATAATATATACAAATATATTAATTTAACAGCTATCGTCCTGAAGCTAATGCTTTCTTTTTCCTTGACAAATTTCTCAGTGTATTTGGTGCAATTCTTTTTACATCTCCATATCTTCCAGAATATGAAGAAGAAAATAAATGATTCTGTCTGAAACTATTACATGTCTGACGAGCTGTCCTTTCAATATTTGCACTGTCTAATATACGAACATGAATCCCATTCAATCGATTGATCTTCTTCCAAGTTTTGTGATCCCATGAGGTTAAATCAGAATTTTTAGAATTTTGTTCATCATCAGCATCAACAACAGTAGAAGAGTCGATATCATCAAACAGAATTGATTTAGGTTTACGTCTATCTTGTTCTTCACTACCGTCGTATCCTTCATCGGATTCTGGAATGAATTATGGAAATTGTAGGCAAAAAATAATAATAATTTAATATCCACACAAGAAAATCACAACATAACTGGGCGAATTTTAATGATTTCGTTGAAAAATTACAAAAATAACTCAACAATCTCAAAATTGATTCTACGAAAGAGTGATCAGTCAATTCAGTTCAGCCGGAGACCACAGCAGGGAATTACAAGTATACGAAAATAGGATACGATTTCAAATATTCAGAAACTTGGTTTTTCTACATAGCAACAATGAACCACTCATCCTTTATCTAGTGATGAGTTGTGCATATCTAGAGCTTTTGAATGATTGATCGAAATCCAACTTCAGTTAATAAACCACTGAAAACGGAAGAGTAATGGATATCAGTTTCGTCCTTTTTGGGAACATATCAGCAGTACACACCTGTGATTCCACTAGGGATCAAACTTAGGACCTTCAAAGCTTACAAGGCAAGCTTATTGACCATCCAGCCATTGAAATGAAATCCATTGGCTCATGAATTCTAAATTGGGCGAATTCACTATATATATATATATATATATATATATATATATATATATACTGGTTTGCAGACCGATACACTAGAGCTTACTAGTAGCAAACTACAGAATAATAATAATGATTTGCTATATTCCAGAAACAGTACTAGTGGTACAGTGTGGAATTTTCAGCACATATCTACAATATTGCATCTAATTTTATCGAACGTTTAAAAGGAGTATTTCAAAAAATAAATATAAAAACATAAAAATAAAAAAAATACCAAGAAGTAGAAAGGAAAATAAACAAAATAAAAAAATATCTCAGTATTTGGTAGTGGAAGCTATGATATGTTTATGCGTGGTGACAGAAAAGCTGTAGTCATACAAGAAGTTATGAAATGATATTTAAGAATGTTTATCGCCGAGATGATCAGTTAATTTGATTGAACAACACTAAACAATCATAAAATAACATTTCAGGGTTTTTATTGTCAGGTCTAATGCGGTGTTTGTAGTGGTGGTGTGAGTAATCCTGCATAATACAAAATTTTAAGATGGTCATAATGGCGTTCACAACCAATGATTGTCAGTTAATATTGCCGAACAAAAAAAAACAACAACCACAAAAACTGATAATTACATGATGGTTAATGACAGGACAATTTTATGCTAATATAGTTGGAACCAGTAGATACACAAAAGAAGGAATAGAGTAAAGTACAAAAAAGTAAGCCAATGTTAATAATTTAGGTAGCTAAGTATGTTTAAGAAGGTGTTCACTATAGAATACAAATAAGAGAGAAATAAAAGAGCCTAAAATTATGTTATTAACAACGAAACAAGCCATATGTTCCGCGCTTAACATTGTCTCTGTCACTTAGAACACGGGCCAAATATGGTATCGTTGAGTTCCTGTACTTGGTTGTACGAGCATAAATTATTTTGTACTGATTTCTGGTTCTACCTGATGAGATACAAGGCGAGAGTTGGGAATATAGGGGGTGTTGGGGGTCGGAGAGTATGGTTTTAGACCATTTTTCGCATGTATTCAGATGCCTTTCTACTAATGTAGTGACGGGCTGACTGAGTTTTACACCACTAGTCCCACTAACTACCTTCAACATCCTTCTCAGGATAGTATAGTCCTTTTTCAGTAGCCCGGGAAAGACTAATGGGGAGCAGTAAAGTAGAATAGGTAAGATACGAGAGTTGAAAAATTGTGAAAGTAGAGGTTGGGTGATTCCAGATAGTCTAAGTTTCTTAATGTAGTCGTTAGGATATGAGATGAATTTGCATGAAGTTCTAGTAGGAAGTTTTGGCTAGTGGGGTACACCAGGTGGTCGGTTGAAGGATTCATCACCAGTCTTGAAGTCAATCAAATCCTTGTAAACCAGCCAACTGGGAGCCTTTGAATGAATTAGTTTTCCTATCTGTCACAGTTTCAAAACTACTCCATGCACTTTTAGCAGTTAGGTAATATTTTTTAGGATGTAGTACACAACCTTGTTTCGCTGATGGGTTGTATTTTTGCTAATCAATTTTTCTATACCTTGACAAAAGCTGCTGTGAATCTACATCAAACAGCTTCACATCACAGTAGTCATTGACAGATAAGAATGTTAGGACAGTTTTAACATAACATTTGATGACTCCCAGTGTAAAAGAAGCTTGTTGAATTATTATCATGCCTCAGTATGGTCACTTTCTTCAGGGTTCACTGCTTATTTTTAATTGATGGTTTGATTATTTGAGATAGTCCCACGGTGGCAGACCGTTTCTGATGCAACTAACGATGATGATAACTGAAGGTGGAATGACATTCGCGTCGCGACAGCATTCAAACTGCGGACATTCATATAACTAGTTTTTCTTTCTCCTTTCTATCCGTAATGATATTCTGTTGATGGCTGCTGGCTGGATGAAACATGTAAAAAATGTAACTGAAATGAGTCATCCGGTCAGACATAGACTCTCTCTGCTGTTTTTATAGTTAGTAACAAAACAGTTCATGTGGATCTGTAGCTCACTGGCTCAGGCCTATAGGTCTTTACTAAAATCTATGATATTGAGCTGTAAAGTTGTACCAATTTTTCGTCGTTCTTTAACAGATTACAACCTAAGACGAAATGTATCTGTAATCAAGTGCCGGTTAATTTTATAAAAATAACAAAGTTCAATAATGATAGCTATTCATTGGATCGTTCCCAAAATAACTGGTTATGAGGGCTTAAACCCGTCTAAGTGGTGATGATCCCAGTGGTTGTAATAGACGGAAAGATGGGAAGACTACTACCAATATGACAGTACTAGTGTGACAAGTGTTACTGACAGGCTTTTGTAGGTAGTATGTTGTGTGACATCTTTTGCGAAAATCTTGAGTAGCGAAGCAATGCACAAAGTTGTAAAGAGAGGAAATGAAGACCAGTATGGAACAATATAGAAAGCATGAAATGAATATAAAGGAAGCAGAATTTGAATAACTTTTTCAAATTGCAGTTTCAATGTACGGTTTTTATCATTTGCCACTGCTGTACATCATTTGTCCAAATATCTCTGTGTTCTGACGTTATACTAGCGCCTACCTCCAATTACAACATTGTGACTTACTAGTTAATATTCACAAAATCATTGGACTTCACAGTTCCTGGTGTCATGAAATATGGCTTGGAGGTGAAAAGAAAAACGTTCTTCATGAACGCTACCTTCTTATTTCTACTTTTGAAAAGTACTGGAGATTGTTTGGATGATAGGCTCTTTCTTTTACAGGATCTATTCCATACTGCTGTTTCTCTTTCATTTTTAGACAATTATTGTTGCATACCCTAAAATGCTTCTGATATGCCTTTAATTGGGTAAGAACTCATTTCTAAACTATAATCAGACCGATATATTAGATATTTTTTGTAAATAATATACATGAAGAGTCTACTTTGACGAAATATATTTTTTGAAAGCGAAATGTTTGGCGATTTTTTTTGACAATATCTTTGTAATATACGAAATCAACTCTTTAAGTTTGAACATAACTTATTGGTTCAACCACTGTAAGTTTAAGCTAAGATTTAAGGGTTAAAATTCCACCTACACCTAAGATAATCTGCACAAGCCAAGTAGTATCCCAAACCTATATGCAACAAATGTGACTCAAAGTCTAGAAAACAGGCCTGTAGTGGTTCACGAAGCATTATTATTACTTATTTTCAGAGACAGCAACAAATAAAGTAATCAGGGACAAATTTGATCCCACCATTGATCTTTGGTGATAGAAATGACTTCAAGATATCCACAGAACTCAATGGACTATGCCCTTAATACCCAGTAGCATATCATTGTGGTCTTACTAACAAACTGCTATCAAGTAGTGGTCTATAGTGATTTGATTGATTGGTAACAGGATTTTATCATGAGCTGACAACAGATAGAGAACCATTGAAAAACGGGCTGGGAGTAATGGACAGTCGTTTTGTCCTAGTCTTGGATTTTTTGTCAGAACGCACTCACCAGGGTTCGAACTCAGGAACTTCTGGTTACAAGGCGAGCTGTCAGGAAAGCAGAATCCCGTTTAGTTTTCACATGTTCAAGTACTACAATACCATATGGATTCAAACAACTAATGCAAACAAATCAACTTACCATTGCCATACACTGATTTATCCTCAGCTATATCCGAAAACGAACGTTCATTCTGAACAGAAGACTGATATCATCATCATCTGCCTCTTCACAATGAAGGTGATCTGATGCTGTGAAATGTCCTGGGAGGTTAAATTCTTCTTCTAACGGATCCTTTTCCTATTTGCAATGATAAATAGCGCGAACCACAAGCAGTCTTACCTTTAACTTTTGCTGTTCATTCGGTGGTGAAAACTAAGTTTAATAAAATTAATATATTTCAAATTTAAAAAAAAAACCTACTTGAACTTCGTCATCAACCTCTTCATCCTTTGAATGACGAACCTATTAGATTTGAGAGAAATCAACATCTCTATCATGCTTTACTTACTGTTTGTTTTTGTTTATTGTGTTTAGCCTTGCGAATCGCCTTTCTTTTTAGACGTGATTCAATAATGGCTTTGTTGATCTGCTTTTGATGTAACTCGCGTTGTTTAGCTTGTTGTGTAAAACTGAGGGCCACTGGGAGGTCTGTGTCGGATTCCTCACCGACTTCATCATTTAAATCCTTTGAATTACTAGTTCGTTTCTAGAAAATATTTGCAAATAGAACAGTAAAGTTATTATGTGTTAAAATTAATGTATTTATTGCATACAGTATTTTCATTTCTAACCCACATTAAAACTTGCCTGTCCAGGTTTACTGTTATTCGTTAGTGTTCCAAGCGTTTATTCTCAGTGGCGAATATTGCTTAACACACCAGTATTAAGCAGTTCTGTGTTGAGAGTTAAGTTAATCGACTTGTAATCAGTGGTGGAATCAGAGACTGTATTACTAAGCTCCACATGTTCGAAAGGAAGCCAATAGTTTTCTTTAAGGTGATACACTCTGTTGATGAGTACTATTAAGCGAGGAATCTAGATTAGCCTTTTGATTTCAAATATATTTCAGATTAGTGAAAACACCCAGTCAATAGATTTTGACCCACATGCTTGGGATTACACAACCGAATTGGCTATCAGTTGCACACTTGCATATGTTATCAACTTACAGAGTAATTCACTTTCAGTGGGTTGCTAATGTGAAGCACTCAGTCTTTCCTGAATGAGATCACAAATAACTCAATTAGTTTGCGATGTAGGAGTTTGAAAAATTTTTTGTAGATAACTGACAAAAGTAAAAGCTTGAAGGAGAGAGTATTGTTAAGTTTTCCTTGAAGGGAATTAGCAAGTATTACTTCTTTGTATGTTGATTTTATTTAAAAGAAGATGAAATCTGTGAACTTTCGTTTTATTCAAAGTTAATGACAGGTAACTAGTTCCTTCATCTTAAGTCCATGACGACTGATAGTGACCTGAGCTAGAGAACCATTTTTTATTCTCTTAAAACTACGGTACCGAATTTGTGCTGAAACTTTCAACCTCTGAAACTTGCGTGAAATCTAACGATGGGTGTCACTAGCTGAGACTTCAGCATCTCGGGCTTTGGGAATAGTGTATCTGAGGTACAAAAACTGAGTGTAGTTATTCGTCTAATCCTGCCTAGTCAAGGGATTCTTCGGCTACCTCATAAGTACTCTCTGATGTACAGGTGACAATAAACCGGGGCAGAAACTGAGTGCTTGATTAGATAAGAGGAAGATGTTTATGGAAGAAGTAAAGGGTGAGTTTTATCAGCTGTCCAATATTCCGCTGGAGACATGTTAGTGATAACAGTAATTTGGTTAAGCTGCACTTAGGGAATACATGAGACATTTTGTGATGACCAGCTAGAGTTAGACAGTAGTAAATGAGAATCCTAATAACTTTCTAGCAAATTATTTACAGGATTTATATATTGAATTTGACTAGAATACATTTATCTACTTACAATTGGGCTAATACTGATCAAATGATCGCTAAAAATGGCACGCAGGAAAATAATTTTCAGCTAATTAGAGGGGTTACTGTCACATTTCTGACTTCCAAAGAATATACTGTCTACAGAAACATACCAGTAATGTGGACAATGACAACAGTAACTGGAATCCAAAATTAAAAATTGTTGAACGGGATTCAAAGCCAAGACTGGGGTTAAGTTTTCAAAGATCGCATTAGGTCAGAACTAGTCAAAATGTCTTTAATGAGTCTTGAGGGCAGGACACAGGTTGTTGGCTGGGACTAATTAAATACCATGTCATTCTCCCAGATTTTGGCAAGTAATAATGTCCCAATATTGTCTACAGTTTTCGGGTGAAATAAAGCAAAGCATGCTGGTTTGTTAAAAAAAAGATATAAACTAAGCGTCATCTTGGAGTATCAGAGTGACCAGAATTCATTTTAGATATGTTACAGCCCTCGTAGGAGGACCATTATACAACTGCATGTAATTAAAGACATGTTTCCTTAATTAAATCCTTTTGCTAGTTAGGAAAAATGAAAACAGACAGAAAAGTAAGTACAAGGCAAAATATAGTGATCCATACAAAGAAGCCCATGAATTAACCAGGAAGCGATCGATTAGAATTTGAGTTGACCAAAACCCAAATACTTTGTAATTTTAACCTAAATTTAATATTTACAGGTACTGCAGTTCATGATCTAGGTAGTAGTTATCCTTAAAAAGTCCTATACATAAACGTGAAGTCGGACGTTTAAGTGTACATAAATGCCTTGTATAAAAGCAAAGACTTAAATGTTGAAAAATGTGTCCCACTCAGTGCTTTCGCAATTTTATCCATGAATATATTGTTTGTCGCCTAATTTTGTTTTCAAAACGTAATTCGTCATCTCAAGGTCATTCAAATAAAAATCTTACAGCGCAGCTCAGCTGTGCTTATGCCACTTGAACTCTATTTACTTGTCAAAAGTCAAGTGCCGTGTGGCTGCTACGGTTTAACTTCGCCCAACCATTAAACTGTTCCCTCCTGCCGCTGCAGTAACTTCATGTGTGCTTAACACCAAATAGTAACGTACAAGTTTGGCATACATAATACACCTAGTACTTTTCGTTATGCTCAACAATATAAATTTGACCAGTCACTTGAAATAGGTATTCTAAAACACAACGTGAGATGTATTTGTCCTTACACTCTTCATCGTGAAATTTAGCGCTGCATGCGCTAATTGACCTCAGCCTTCAAAGTTAGTTGTTAAAACAAACTCAACTCAGTAATGCAGATATTGAATTCTGAGTAAGAACAGAAGGCTCTACACGCATCTCAATTTATTTTTCTGCGTTTCTTCGCTTCTTTATCCTCTTATTTAAGAGGACAATACTTAGGGATGGCGCAACACTCTGAGCTAAAAAATAGTACATTCATTTCTCACATATTGTCGTTTTCTTTATTGGTAAACAGAGGTAAGTAGTTGGATGTAATGAGGCTTGGGACTGAAGAAAGGGCTAAGTACTGCGTCTTCAACTAGGCATTTTGATGAACATAACCTATGTAAACACCAATGACACTAAGGGACCATATAAGTTATTTATATGTTTCTGGGAGGGGGGATTCTTTAGATAAGTGTAAGTAACTTCTGAGTCAGATTACCGATGTCGGCGCAACATTTTATCTGTCAATAACTGTCAGTTATTCCGTGTTCTAGGACTGTTTATTTTGTTGCAGCAACTCTCATGTATAACAACCGGGAACTAGCGGCTCTGCATAGAGAGAGGTGACACCCGTATCAGACGTGTGATTAATTCAATGACTTCAGTGGAGCATTCTAATGTGAGTTACCACTGTGTTAAAGACAACGGGTTTCACTGGTATTTGGACCTCACTTGGTCGTTTTCTTGTCTTTTCATTATTTTTATGTCATGTACTACATTTGTTTACCCATAGTTCGCTTAAGTAGCTGGTTTCATGTATACAGGGCTATAAAAATCCAGTTGCACTATTATGGTTGTGGACAGCAGATTACCTTACCCTCAAAGCAAAGGCATTTAATTGAGTTACGGAGAACTGTTGACTTAGCGTAGACTGAAGAGAAAAGATCGAGAGGACCCTGTAGACTGCTTGAAGATGTGTGTGTACTCTAGATAGTGAAATTAGTTTGCGGAAATTGATTATTAAGTAGCAGTAGTAAAGGATGCACAAACAATAAGGCGATTGATATCAATCTGGTATAGGAGCTTCAATAGGAAGCACCAGTGGTTAAATTGGTTTGCGAATGCCTGGATTACATCGTAAAATACTAAGTGAACTACATCACTGTAGACATACTACATGTATTCGGATGTTCAAAGTAGTCATTTATCAGCTGACGCCACAGTCGTAGAGAAGCTCGAGTTAAACTGGTCAGTGGAAATCAAATTGGCGAAGTGGAAAATCCCATATATAACTCTGGAAAACAGTTTAATCGAACAGGCATTCTTAGAGAAGCCGTTTTACGGCTGCGCTTCGACAGCTGACTTCAGCAGGCGGATAATCTAACGCATGCCATCTTCGTCATGACCTATCGGATAGCAAAAGTCACACTATTTGGGAATCATATGATTTCACAATATTTATGATTTGCATGAATTAATTCATTTAATTTACACACGGGTTTCCCGTTTCTGAACGTTTGAGAAAGAGCTATGTGCTACTTTTAACTATATTTTGACACAGATATTGTAAGCTGAGACATTTAGTTACAGTATCGTTCTTTTACGCACTTTAGGACTAGTGGAATTTGTCAAAGGTTCTTCAATGTTTAACTTGCATGCATATATTTCAGTTATAGGTTTCCCTTATGATCATCATTGATAAATGGAATTAAGTCAGAGACGTTTGTTTAATTTCAGCCAGATGTGGACGAAATCGGTGTAACATATTTGCGTCTGTTCGCGATCAACTGTTACTAGCATAACGGTATTTCAAATGGTTTTCATTCATGTGTTAATAAGTTTGACTATGTTAGTCCATTAGATTGAGATCGATTAAATTATCGGAACATAGGGATTTAACTACAGCCATAATAATTGACTCTGATAAATTAAGTAACGTAGCGAAAGCTCACTTACTGCAATGCATTTACCTTCATGTAACTATACGGTGAAGTAGATTGTGGCTAAAGTTTCAATAACTGATAAAATTAGGCGTAGAGATAGAGGCAGAGTTTAACCACTCAGTCCTTGTTAAGTGAATCAACATCAGACGTAAGCGATGGAGGTAATTCAACGACAATCCTGGATATATGAAAAATTGGAATGAAAAACAGCGGAGAGTAAGCATATATACGACAGTTTATGATGTAATGTGAATGTACTTATATCAGTATTGTTGATGCTTGGCGCTCAAAACATCACACTTATTTTAAAAGTGTGCTACACGAAGTAAACACATATAATATTGGATTATATTCCAGCACAGTGACAATTCTTCTGCTAATTAATAGCTTAAGATGTAACTTAAGATCCATTTTTACCTGTCAGTCAAAAACATGACTAGCTGATTCAATTCCGACACACGAACTTAAGATTTTCTGTCCTGTTTGTGACAGAATTCATGTCTTTACCCCTCGTTATCCAATTGATCTTTGAGTGGTCTGGAGTAAATATAATGCTATGAGTGTTACGTGTTTAGTGAGGTTTACAAGTAAGCTTCTTAGAAATAAAATTTCGCGTCTTGATGTATTGCAAATGTAGTATGTGCAGGTTTAGGTTAAGAAGAAAGGAAATTGTCCACTCACTTTGTAGCTTTACAGACATAGATGTAGGCAATGTGAATATTAATGTTCCCAGAATAGACGTGTTACTTGTTTTGTTAGGCTAAAGTGGGTTTATTTCCATGACCTCTACTTTCCGCATATTTTGAAATGCTTTGAAGTTTTCGTTGGATCTCGGCGTTTCGAGAAGTCTAGGTAATATAATGGTATACTGACTAGCCTTATTCAAACACTTTATTGTTAATTTATTTCCTTAAATGTTGTTATCATCGAAGTTTTTCTGTTTACTCACGTTTATATACCAAAAGATAGAAATGTGATACGTATGCGTATATCTAAGCTCGAGCCCAGTACATCGTATATGCACATGTGAGATTGCATTTACAGCCAAACACCTGCATGTTTTAACCGTCATTTTAAACCTAATTGTCAGTGGTAGTCAGCTAAGCCTTCAAATATTTCGGATTACCTTCCGCATTATAGTTCAATAAGGGAAATCTCGTTATGCTAAAAACTATGATAGACATCAGGTTGCTTCACCAAACTCTGTGATCTGATAGGCTGACACAACACCTACATATGTCTAGTTATTGGTTATTAAGTCGATTACTTCAAATACATTTGTGCAGATTTTTTAATTAGTTTAAAGATATGGATGTAAATAAACGAATGTAATATCTACTCAGTACTAATCAGCGTACCACTGACTGAGTTAGAAAAATTTATACTTTGACAGACATAAAATAAACAACTGTTTTGAACTACAGGGGATCAAAGCTAGGGCGTCCTATAAATTAATGTTTCACGTCCAACAACATATGCTACAAATGAATGAATGAAATAATTGTGGGTTCTCTACCAGACCATTTGTTAGCAGACTTGCTTTTCCCTTGTTTGGCAAGTGTTTTATCAGAAAGTTGAATTAAAAGTAATTTTTTCATCACTGATCAAAACACCAGAGACCAAGGACTCGAGTGCGTTCACATTTCTTCTCGCTTCGAGTTTGCCGTCTCTGGAACGCTTTACCGGCGGCCGTAACTACAGCTCCATCTGTGGAGATTTTTAAGCGGAAGCTGGACAATCATGCAGAAATGCATGGTTTGTGTCTCAATGGCTTACCCTCTTAAAATTTGAAACCACATTGTCAATGGATAAGCATACAAGCTAAATCTTCACGACCCGTCCTGTCTTCTCCCACTGTATCGACTACTCTATCTTTCTTTCTTTATTATTTCACTTATCTCAACCTATATTATCTACACTACAACCTATTATTATCATTATCATTATTATTATTATTACTCTACTTTTATGACTATACCGAATGACCGACGGGTGTTAGGTCAAACTCCATTCACGGCAGCAGCTGAGTCCTAACATACTGCACACTACAAACCACAATCTTGACCAATCCTCGCATCACTCCTCCTGGAGTCTACCAGAGCTAAAGCAGTCGAGTGGCGGGATTTACTACGCATAAGTTCACCGAAGATCTGGAACCTCTACCTTAAAATCAAGAAGCGAGCTCAAAGAAATCACTGGTTTATACTAGCTCGTAATCAGGATATTGGATATTGGATATTGAAGTTGTTAGAAAAATGTATTTATATGTATCGTTCACATTTCTCTACCTATTAGAAGAACCTCAGAACAAGCTGAGTTTTATAAGTGTTCTGTTGACCAGAAAAGCACCTGGGAAAATACTAATTTAGATGTCAAGTTCTTAGGGCAATATTAACATTTCTTCAGTTTTGTACTCATCTATGACAAATTCAAAGCATCATAAGTAGTTCGGGAAAGGTTCTCTGGCAAAAGAAATGAATTGCATACATAATGCAATGGTTGAAATGAGCTATAAGAAAATATATGAACATAGCTCTCAGAAAGTTTAAACTAGTTATTGGATAGTACATTTCTCAAATTTGGATACTGTGGTGTCATGTAACTCCATGCTAGATTTTTATCGTACAGATCGTAGTGTTATTTTGGCCACAGTTTATCACATAGAATTTGATGTGATCGTGAAACCTGATCTGTGTTCTAACTTCCATGTAGTAAATAACACTGTTCATATGTGTGATCTGCATGACTTAGAAACCAATATGAAGCCACTTGCTAATAAGAAGAAATGATTGTTATTAAAGCATCACTTCAGTAAGGACATGGTTTAGGAAGTTTCCTAATGAAGACTTCAGAACGATAAAAAGAGCTTATGATATAAATACTACTTGCTTATCGTTTTCCAGATAGTCAATACTTAAGCAGAGGGTAAATTAATAAGGCATGAACTTAGATGACTACTATTTCGTCTGTTATATTGAGTAACTTTTATCTCTACAAGATTCGTGGCTAATTTGATTACTGAGATATTTAAACTATCATATTTTTTATCATTTTCCATAGCCTTTTACATTAATTTCTAGTTTTGTCACCGAACCTGACGTTATTCTTAGTGTTTTCATCATTAACACTATGTATGTCTATAACTGTGCATATTAGATTAGAGCCTGAGAAAGATATAACTGAGAACAATATTTATACTATCTACATATAAAAATCATAATTAAAGATTGCATTGAAAGAACTTGAAATTTGATGTGTTTTAATAACTATGAGTGTTAAAAGTCAGTCTGTCATTGGGACAGTTTTGGTCCTTATTACGGTAGTTTACAAAGCTGGCTTTTCGAATTTCGATTTTGTAGCGATAATGACCAAAATTTAGGAAAGTGTATCCACCCATTAGCGGGACCATTTTGGGATTCTCAGTTTTAAATAAGGTCAAAATATGTAGAAAGTAACTATTTAATTTGGTTAGAGGTAGATAATCTTTTTGGTAAGATATATTACGCGCTAGATCTAGGACAACTTATAATGTCAGGGAAGGCTCAGAATAAACCACGAGAATGCAGATGACGACAGAATAAAATAGTGATTAGTACACATTTTTAGACGACCAAATAAAAAGATGAGGAGTCGATACATATACATTACTGAGATCGATTTCAGATGTTTTCATTTATAGATACGCATGGAAGAGGCGAAATTAGGCAGTTTGTCTTTTACTCCCGAACGCAAAAGAGGAGTGGTTTTAAAGATACAGCGTAATTCGGCAGCAAGGAATGCTCTTTTTACCGTATTTCTAAGGCGCTGTGTTATTATCTCGCTGGTGTTGTCCCCAAAGAATGGTTTCGAACATTCGAAGACGCTCTACTAAACTTAGGAAGGCATGTAAGAGCTTATGAAAAGCTATCATGTGAAGTGAAGACAACAAGGGGTTCCTAGTGTCACCGTTTTTACTCATTTTCATCATAAATGTTATGACGCAAGTGGTCGTGCTCAAACACGAAGCTTCAGACATTGACCTATTACCAAGATAAAGTATTGTTCAGCTAAAAGTGAACTGGCTAACGAAATCTAGAGTATTCTGAAAACCTTGGGTAGAAACCTGCTGAATGTAGGACTACGTTGTAGCACTGGTCTGTACTGACTCCTATTTTTAGGATATGGGGTGAAACAGCTGAGGCTGCTGACCAGCTAACTTGTTTGGGAAGACACATAAGCCCTAATTGACTGGTTGTTAGCAAAATCTTAACACACATAAGATAGGCTTATCCAGTATTTTCCAACTTGCACTGTCTTCATCCCAAGTGTCATAACTCTTAATCCACCAAAGGAGGTGTGTGTTGTGTAGCAGTTCTATTGCTCCTTTTTACGGTTGTGCAAAATGGTCTGTGATAGTGTCAGATGTGAAATCTTGGCAGCTTTTCTTGAATACACATGTCTGTGTTCAATTTTATGATTTAGGTAGTGTTATATGGCCGGCAAAAACGGTGTTGTTTGGATTAGTATGTCGGGAAAAAAGGAGGAAGTCAACAGATGCGGTCGCGAACTGGCATTGATTGCGGTGGCTAGGGTATATGTTACTCATACTAAGCCATCTCCTTCTTTGTTAAGTAACGTTATGGGATACATGATTAGGTGAGAAACTAGGTAGTAATGGTCAGAAGAAAACATGGTACTAATCCATGATATCTTTGACTGTTGATTTGAACCACACAGGAAGGTATATTCTAGCTTGCTCGGTTCCTTAGGATGTTAGAAATCAACGGTTTGAGACTGTTTGTGACACAGATCAAAATCTTCTTTATCATTTGTGACCTCCCCATACTTTGAAAATCTTTGTTATCCTTCACGTAATTATTCTTTATTTAATTTCTTCACGTTATTCGTGTTTTCCTAAAATGTGATGACATGAACTGCTGCAATTTTGAGCAAAATTTCGTGTTAGTAATTCAGTTAGCTCATTCGGTTTGTCTAAAAAACCTACTGCTAAAATATTTCGGCAGTGTTCAGTTCAGTTAATTTTTTTCACAAGCACAGTTTGACATACACATATGATCGGTTTTGCCTTCATAAAATTAACACTATCCTGGAGAAATTTCAGTGTTTTATGCTGTGGTTTTGTAAAGCTTATAGATGCACATTATCTTATCTTTCGGTTTCAGGTTTTAATCAACATTTTGTACGCCGTTGAGTTTCGTTTCAGAATAACGCGTTAACTCTGCAAAATTATATACCAATAAACACACACTTATCAAGGTGATATTATAACTTTAGATCTACAATGAAAATGATGTGCTTTTTTCAAATCTATTTTATACTTCATCTATTACAACAATTGTATGCATCAAATCGAATATGGGAACAAGAACTTAAAATGCCTTCTGTGCATACAGAAGAAGAAGATTCCTATGTCTGTGCATATTTTCAACCACCGTCGATAAATGAAACTAATTTTATTCGTGGCATTTTTCCTAATGCTAATCGTTCAACTGTACATCATATGATTTTAAAAGGTTGTTCATATCCTGTTAAAACTATTGGTAAAATTAAAAAATGCGGTGGATGTGAAACAGTTTTATACGCATGGGCTATGAATGCACCACCGTTACGTTTTCCATTAGGCGTAGGATATCCAGTTGGAATTAATGCACCAATAAAAGGATTTGAACTAGAAGTTCATTATTTAAATCCTGTTAAATCTGATCAATCTGGATTACGACTGATTGTTACTAATCAACATCAACCAAGAATAGCTGGTGTATTCTTGTTATTACGAAGTGATGCAGTAATACCACCTGGAATAAGAAATTACCCAGTTGATGTATCATGTCGGTAAGTTTTTCTTGTATATATGATATTATTATCGTTCCCTTGGGTACCGAATGGAAAATAGGGCTTCAACAGCATGTCTCCACCTTGCTGTATTTTATGCGGTCCTCTTTACTTGTCTGGACCCACGATTGATCATAGTCTCTCATCTCCTCCTGACACCATATACTCCATAACACACTCGGAGCCAGGCCTAACTCTCCATTTCCCATTGGGACACCACTCCAGCAATGGCATGTTTGACGCGCGATATTACTTGACAGTCTTCTCAATGTGTGCGCTATTCATCTCCATTTTCTTCTAAATATTTGGTGAGCAGTCGCTTTCTTATTGGATCGTTCCCAGCCGGCCAGAGTTTCTTCTTGCTAATTCTTTGTGGATGGTTGGCTGGCCATTTGATCTTCAGTATGGAACCAGTGAAGGCAGTTGTCAATACAAGTTTGAGACAGGCTGTTGGAAATACTCTTCGTGGCACGTGTATCATATTTCTGACCCGCATAGAAGAACTCACTGACTCAAAATTGGTGCTGGAAATCCAAATATATGATATTAATACTAATAACATGGCTGTATTTTTGGATGATAAGCATAAAATAAACAAATAGTTTTAGTTCCAGGCACAAGTTTTGCGATTCTTGAAGGTTATATACCTAGTGGGTTGATTTTTCATATATATATATTTCACTAAAGTATACTAACACCTTTTGCACTGGTAACTTGTATGATAGTTATTTTTAAGACATTTACTTGTTTTCCTACAGAACTGATTACCAGGCTAATACATTTCAGTTTTATTTGCACCGGATACAGCTTTTACTTTGAAGTGGTTGTGTTTTATGATCTAGGTGATTTAATTGAAAAGCCTTTCGTTCTCCTCCTAGACGATATCTTCAGCACAAGCTTCAATATAGCGTGTAGATAACTTGAATTCTCCATGAATGATGTAATTGTCTCTCTCTCTCCTGAAAACCTGTATCTTGATTAGTTGTTGACCTGTATTAGTAATGATCACTGTTATTGACTTGGAATTTAACATTTTTTATCATGTGGCTTATTCTTTATTAGTTGATAACTTTGTTCTATAGTAAGTAATGTGTCTGCTCCTCGCTGATTTAAGTACCAGACTTCTAAGAATTTCCTGGCATTTTTAGCGTTTCCACTGTCTAAAATTTCTACATTATCCCAATCAAATCGATGCCCATAGTTATCTACATGTATCGATATGAAAGAATACTTGCAGTATTTTTTGACAGCTAGTATATATTGATAGGTTTGAAGTCGAAAGGTACACCCTCTTTGACTAGTATAGCGCTTATCACAATTCATGCGATCTATTTTATAAATGGTATTGAACTTGTCTTCTTTCGCTGTTGGGTGGGTCTTTTAGTCTGCATAACAGTATTGAATGAAGAGATTGCCTGTTGATCTAAGTGCCACATCTATTTCAAATGCTTGTAGTGTTCTAACCGTTATTTTAGAAACATTCTCTATGTGTATGGGTTAGGATGAATATTCTTGTAGTTTCTGAGGAGGATGTTTTTCTGGTAGTTTAATTCAGATTTAGACAACTCTTGATGCAATTGTGTGTGGATGTTCATTTTCCTCGGTGACAGTTGATAAATATTTGTCTTCATTTTTCCTTAGAACAGGAGTTCTGCAGTGTGTTTTAATTCTTTTAACAAAATGGTTGTACACACTTCATTTTGTGTGCTATTGGATTATTGCTGTTGTCATTCAGCATTTGGTCTAAGTGGGTTGGTTTTCTGTTCACTTAAGTTTTTACATATCTTCTCTTGACTAGGAGATCTAAGGAAGGAATTCCGTTATCTAATTCTCTTTTTTTGTTGTAAGTTTAATGTCCTCAAATATGTTGATAATTAAAATTTGTGCGTGTATTGTAAATCATTTCTTCCAATTATGACAAATGTGCCATCAACATAATGCGTCCGGATTTTTCGTCTGATTGCTGGTAGCGTTATGGTTTCAAGCCTTCGCATAACGGTCTTTACATACACCTACTTAAGTTTACGCATAAATGCTAATCGATTGAGTCTACAGTATTAATACGTACAAATACTTCAGAAGTCAGTTTTAAACACTAGTTAAGCTTTTATTCAAAACTAGCATTTTGACCTGCTAAGAAACTCTACACTCACTTTAAGCAGTAGACATAAATCATCCCTAAACTCTAAAATTAATTCAGCCTTAATCACCCATTACAGAGATGATTGCCTGCCTGTGAGACTGCTTCATATAAGGTCAAGAATGCTGTAAGCTTGTAATGGACAATCAATATTCAACAGAAATGAATTACTTAGTTAAAGATGCTGCCACCTTTTATAACCAGTTAACTGGTAAACGCCTTATTAGTCTTCATTTCTCTCTCCTGTTTCTTCTTCTTCTTCCCAATATCGTTTGGTATAATTTATTAATTGCTAGTTTCAAGTTTGACCACGGACTGATATCAGTAAGGGGAACCGCTGAAAACCAGACAATACTGAACAGCTATTTCGTCCCCTTTTGGGACTCATTGGCAGTACGTACCCACTGGGGTTCGAACCTAGGACCTTCCGATTACAAGTCAAGCTAATAGACCATTCAGCCACTGGCGACTGACTCAATGGCCATCACATGAATTCTAACTTCTAGCAATTAGCGGTATAAGCTCGACCAGCAGCCAGTGTTATTGGTGCGTATTTGTCCTAGCGCCCGACTGATCCGGTGGTCATCACTCCTCACTAGAATTCCAGTTGATTTCATCATGTTTCCAGTCAACAGCGAGCATCAAATTAGTTTTTAAGACTTAGTTGACCACTGGGGCCATCCAGTCAGGAGTGAGGACAGATACACGCCGATGACGATGGCTGGTGTTCGCCTTAAAATCACGAATTGATAGCAGTTAGAATTCATGGGCTGGGCATTGAGTCGGTTCCCAGTAGTCAATGAGCTTTCCTTGTAACTGCTGGTGCCGGATTTGTACCCAAGTGGGTGCTTGCTGCTGATGAGTCCCACTACTCTCTGATGGTCTTCACTGATTCTCTAATTGACAACAATCTGTGCTGAAACTTGAAACAAATCAAATCCTTACAAACTACTTCTTAAAAATGGTTAGTTTGTGTAAGTTTTCTGTTTTTGCAGTTAAAAAATTTGGCAACTTACACCTCTGTGTTCTGTAATAAGTTTGCTGGCTTATCGGCTATTTATACTGAATAAGTGATAAGCTTTATTGAAAAATATTTGCTTATTCTTTAGAATTAAATTTATTCATAGGGAGTACAGTTTATGCTTGCTTTCTTGACAACCATTTATGGTATCAAGTAGACCACATATTGTAATGATCTGAATAATTGTGGTTACCAGAGGAAACTGCTGTGGTGAAATTTCACCTCCTCGGACTGTGTAAATTTAAAAAAAATTAATTTTCGAATCTAATTTATAAATTTACCAGTTCTCTCAAGTAGCTAGTCAAAAATCCACTGATTTAAACTGATTCGGCTCTTTGAGCCAATTTAAAACCGCGTACACCACTGATGAGCTCAGCCATGGAGGAGCAAGATGGCTATTCGATATTTAGATCTAATCATTCTGGCTAGTATGCACCATTACTGATTGATGTGATGTGGTATATATCTACTCATGTTCACCAATCAGTAGTATAACATCATGTTATTGGAGCAGATCACAACATGTGATAGGAACGTAGGATAATTGATCAATAAAATTGTTGGTTAGATTATTTTCAGTGTAGCAGAGTTTTATTGACTTGTTTTTCGCAGTCATCTTTTTGTTTCAAGGTAGCGCTTCACTGTTGTCAGTGAAGATTTTTGATCTTTCCTTAATTATATCAATCGATGTTTTTCTTTCAAAGAGTGAGAAAGAAGAAAAATAGGATTTGTAGCATAAAATGTGCACATTTTATTTCCAGTCTCCTTTTTAGCCGCAGAGAGACTAAAATCTACATACGATTAATTGAGCAGTAACAGATTTTCTCATCCAATTGTGCTTTGCTGGCACAGCGGTTTGGACTCTCGCCGACCATGTACATGGCCCGGGGTTCGATCCCCTGCCCACGCACACCTCAATCAATGGTTGGCCTGCAAAATTTGGGCTACCGATATCAAATGCTGAAAATGCCATTATTGTACGAAAAATACAGTGTGGAGTCAAGCTATAATCAAAAAACGTTCGTCGTGAATATAGTAGTCTGAAGAAATAACAATAAGTGAGTTGGATGGATGTAGTCATTATAACTGACACGAGAACACATTAATTATCACAATAGGTTTGAAAGAAGGTTCGAGAAGTTTTGGCAAATGGTTTACAGTAAAACACTAATTAATCATCAGTATACTCTAGGAGATCTGAATTTCGCGCATGGATGATTTATGTTCAGTGTCACACAAACTCGAAGATTTACAGTCGGAGACGAACAAACTCTCTGAAGAAGCAGCCAGCGAAGACACGACTCCAGGTGATGAAGATAACCAACCAACAGAGATAGCAGCAACAATCAGCATCAGTCACCATCAGCGGGAGAGATTCAACAGAGGTTACTTCCGTCACTTATCCAGGAAGCATTGTTTCAACTACAGGTGGAACGGATGAAGATGTCAAAGCCAGTCTGAATCGCAAAGACGAGATACACCTTCATCACTCTGAAATCAGCCTGGAAATCTTCTGCACTTACTCAGCAGAAAGAACAAGATTCACATTTTCAACACCAATGTTAGTTAAGTCAGTTCTTCTATATTGGCCAGAAACTTGATACACGCGTCACGAAAAGTATTTCCAACAGCCTGCTGCAGACTTTTATTGACAACTACCTTCACTGGCTCCATACTGAAGATGAAATGGCCAACCGACCAGCCAGAAAGAATTAGTAACAAGAAACTCTGGCTGACTGGGAACAAACAAACCAAGAACCGACTGCTCAACAAATATGCAGGAGAAATTGAAGAGAGAGATTGCCCACATACTGGGGAGACTGTCGAATGACATCGTGC